GGTGAGTGTGTGCGGGTTGTCTGGACTCCTGCAGCGAGGACAGGCAGGGGGAGCTCCTGTACAAACACAGGAGGGGTGAACAAGCTGCTGCTGCCGGACCTGCAGGCCGTGACGTTTCCACTGCTGCTCAGTATCAGACAGCAAGCAGCAGACAGAGACGAGCTGCACAATAACCTCTACCACCAGCTGCACTCAAAATTCATTCCTCTCGATTTTCTCCATCGGTAATAAGCACTCCTTCATGAGGAATCAGTTTCGTATTCCCAAATATATTTTGCTTGATGCTTTTATCCAAAGTGAAGTACATTTGAACCCATACAGCTGCATATTTTAGCAGAGCAATTGTGGGGAAGCACTTTGCTCCAGTGCACAACAGCAGTGGCTGGATGTCAGGCGCACTTTCATTGAGAAGAGGCCATCAACCTGGTTTGGCTGTCTGAATGACCCAAGGAACACCTCCATCACCCTCCCTCCCAGCTCCAGTTTCTTAATAGAAGACAGGGTATCAACTTTGACAGCTTGTTCCAGAGTCCCACAACCCTCTGTGTAAAAAAGGTGCCCCCTTCCTCTCAGTTTTAATCACACTTTCAGTTAACAGTGTACAGTTTTCACACAAAATCCATTGCTAATACCAACTGTCTGCTAACAGAATGTGACACTAGCAAGTCACCACGATCCATTAAGAGTACAGTTTAATCACATTTACAATCAGTACATGCTGTACCAATCGAACAAAGCCACATTCTTTGCAAGTTTGAAAAATGACCACATAGAGCTAAGACCTAAACTTGTCTGCCTTTAAGCACCTCAGTCCAGACCAAAAAAAAAAGTTACATACTGGTTGATATTTAATTTCCTAGTAACAAAGACATGCAAATAACATGTCTGAGAAGTTAAAAAAAACACTAACTAATTTCAGGATGTGAACCTTTACCGTTAAAACGGAGTTTCTCTGATCCATCTAGAACATCTTGCCCTGTTTCCGATAAAATGTAACTTGGTGTGTTCATCTACTCGGCTTCAGCAGAAAGGATTTCACATCAGAACTCCCCTTAGGCCTGTTTCTGCTGTCTCCCGTAGGGGGTTTCCTATGTGTGTCCTTGGCACCTACAGGAACACTGGCAAGTGCAGACTGATGCTATAGTAACAGAAACAAAAAAGGCTCCTCTTCCTCTCGCAACGCCCACAGCCCAAACCATGAGCTCCTCCAGCTTCCCCGCAGGGCGAAAAATACACCAGGAATTTTACATGTCTTTCAAGGTTAAAAGGGCTGTGCTTCCGTGCAGCACCATACTCCAGGAAGACAGCGGGAACAGCAACAGGACTGAGCAGAGCAGCCAAGGTGGGGGTTTTTCTGGGGGGCTCGGCTGTCTCAATCACGTCCGGCTCGGCGGCAGCCGGCGGGCATGGCGCTCCCCGGCGCGGCTCAGGCGGGAACAGGGAGGAGGGGGGCCGGAGCGTGTGCTCTGGAGCGGGACGCTGCTCTCCGGCACGCGCCGCCTCCCTGGGCGCCTGACCTTTGGCAGCTCTCCCTGGGAAGGGCAGGGCCCCAGGCAGAGCCCCATTCTCATTCCGAACGGCAATTAACCGCAGGCGTGTGCTGGAGAGGGGCAGGCAGGCGGGAAGGGGAGCTTCCCTTCAGAGCGAGTCAACTGTAGGCCTGAAGGACTACCTGCTCCTATTAAGACAGACGCAACTGGCAATACAATTGTACCATTTCTCATCCTCATCTGCCATCTACAGCTGACATTCACAGAATGAGGCATGCATAACCATTGGGGTTTTTAAAATAAAATACACGGTTGTCCCCTTGAGAATCCTGTACCTACTACGTTGTTTAAAGTTTCTACACAGGAATTTTACGCTGCAACAGTGTTTTATGCTATTTTAGACTTAAGCCACGGAGCAGTCAACAGTAAACGGATGCAGTGCTTCATTATTTTTAAATTCTAATCTAAAAGAGCAGTGCATCTGAAATAACTCCTGAAGGTCGTTTCTAATCCTAATATGTTTACCATCAGCGGCAGGAGATATATGGAAGAAACAGAGGTTTTATTTGGAAGCCTGCAAAATCTGTGAAAGACTTGCGGAAAAAAAAGGCATATATTCCTCCAGAGAAAAGAACAGATTAGCTGTCACTACTGGTGCTTTGACCAAGATAAGCTGCTTTACACAAAGAGACTGCAGTCCTTTTTCAATGTGGAAAGAAAGAAAAGAAACTCCCGGGAGCTCTGAGGGCCTGCTTCTCTTTTGTGACGGCCTCAAAGCACAAAAGCACCGTGAGCCTCTGTGCTGAGCCACTTGAAGTAACATTCATCCTCCTCCAATTGTTGTGCACTGACTTCGGAGAGCTGTTACTAGAACCCGACACGAAGAAAAACTGCGGTTTCTCCCTCGCACCACCTGGCCTCAAACTACAGAGAGGTCTCCAGAACCCTCAAGGTCTCCTTCTCCCTCGCCGGCTCCATGCTCCAGGTGATTTCAACAAAAGGGTCCCTGAAAAGCTGTGGGCGGCATGACTCAGTAGCGGTAAACTGGACCGGGGCTGCGGCCAGAACTCTGCTTTAACAGGAAACTCCTGCTCTGCCCTCTTTCATAAAAGAAAAAAGTCCGATTCACCACGGTATCGGCAGCACGTCTCCTACTTCCAGATGACCGGTGGAGAAGGTCTTCATAAAGATCTCTGAGACCTTTCTGAACTGCTTTGCTTCCAGTGCTTTGAACTCAAAAAATACTTCCAACTCTTACGAATTACACTCATTATATAAAAGTCATTATATAAAAAGTCATTATTTTGCAAGTCATAATAATAAACAATAAGTCGTTAAACAGGGCTGTTGGGTATTTTGCTCTTCTTTGACTCTAATTCAATAAAAAAGTAGAAAGATTAGTTATTCCCTGATGTCTTCTGAAAGAAGGCAAGTTCTCTCTTCTAACCCCAATAACTATATTCACATTGTCTTAATTACGTAGGGTATTTAATTTCTAAGTATTCTTTTCCACATATTTCTGGAGTACTCTGTAATGCTTCTCATGATTCTAATGTACACTCGTATATAAAGAGTCTATTGTTTAAAAGGTTTAAAATGTAAAAAATGAAGAGATCCCATAGCACCGCAAATTAAAACACCATTTTAGGAATTTCCCCTCAAAGTTCTTCTGAATTAATTCCTGCCACCCCAGAAAACCTCCTGAAACTCAGACACACTTATCTGGGAACAAGAGGTTCCACGATGAAAAGTAGAAGAATGGGGAAAATAGAAGCGCGTCTTCTATCTGCTTTACAGTGTGTCATTAATTTCTATTCGTTCCCGTGCAGCCAACGCCACCGACACAGCAAGCCCTATCGCTACACTGGTTTCTCCAGTCTGTCTGTTCCTTCACAAAGACTTGCATCCCCTCAGAGTCTTACCTTACGTGTTGATCTTAACCTTCTTGGAACATATTCACCTCCTGCCCATAGTGCGCGGTAGTGCTGTCCTCTTTGTTAACAGAACTTTAGCGCCTGCAGAGAGAGAGAACAGAGCTCATGAGCAAAGCCAGTCTGCTGGTGGGGCTGAACCCATCCAGCTCAGGTCCAGCTCCAGCCCAGAGAAAAGGCCCTACCCACTGCCATCTCCAGATTCTTTCGCACTGTCTTTTAAAAATAAATCAATGTATAGAAGAGGTCACTGCTTAATACATATACACATCTGGCACAACGAAAATGAAAAAATGATCAAATGAAAAGATCGTAATAAAGAACAGTGTAATAACAGTGTTGTATAAGATTCGGCAAAAGAATACTGCTTTAAACGTCACTTAATGCTCACATAGAACAGTTTAATATCTGTCTGCTTTTCTTTGAAGTTACTTTAACCTTAGATGTAAAAAAAACTGTCAACACAGTGCATGTTATATTTTTGGTTAAATATGTTTTCCATGTGGACATAATAGATCTTTTCTGCAAATGAATACTTTTGGAGGACAAAAAAAAGCAGATTACACCTGCAGGTACACAGGAACAATTACAGATGAGAGGAGGTGACTTGGCCCATCCAGTTCATCTGGCAGGTAGTAGCTAATTGATCTAAGGGTCTCATCCAGCCATTTCCTGAAAGAAGCCAGGATAGCTGCTTCCACAACATGGCTGGGCAGCTTGTCCCACACCCCCACAACACTGTGGGCAAAGAAATGCTTCATCTGCTCCATTTTAAATGCACTTTCACAGAAACTGGAAAGGTAATATACTGTACATATTCCCATTTTACAATTAAAAATGTTGAGGTGTCTGCCTGCCTATGCATTAATAAGATGATCATTAACTGATCAGTCATCACCACATCATGGGGAAGCCACAGCTCACCTCGGAAAAAACATGCAACCTACACTTTAGTTCACAGCACACCTGCAGAACAGTTTTACAAAGACTCGGCACAACCCACAACAAAAACTCATGCATTTTCACTGCTGTTATCCCGTACTACTTCACAAAGTCAATAAAACAATATGATGTCACCAGTAATATGAACCTCACGGTGTGATCAGCTTCCCAATCACATTTCGGGTAAGTCTTTTAAAATGTCACAATTCACAAAATGCCAAGAAAATCTAACTGTACAATTGCACAACTGTACAATCCAAGTGCACTAACACTATCAACACTCTTCACAAAAATGCAAAGCCATCCCAATAGGATTCAGCTCCACACATTCACAGAACACCAGCAGCAGCTTACAGAGACTTGGAAAGAAAAGGGGGTTCCGAATATTCTCCTGCTGAGCGCCATCACTTCAGGCCAGAAAGAGCCTGTCAACCTCTCGACAAGATCCCTGGGCTGCTTTTAGCGCTTATTCTGACAATCTGAAATGTCAAGTTCTCTCTACGCATTTTAAGGGCCGATTGAAGATTTCATCTCATTGGCTAGGCATCAAACAAGCAATGCGATCCAGACAACTTACAGTAAACAAGATTGCAGTTACAAGCATTAATCTTGGCTGTTTAAATACTGCTGAGTGAATTTAATTAACCTACACTATTAGCCTGCATAATACAATGCATAGTTTACACACTGACAGCATACTGCCAAATGTACTTACAGATGAGTAATCAGAGAAGATACCTTAAATGCCAGTAAAATGCATGAAGATGTTTTAATATTCTACATTATTAAATTGTAGTAGGATGCTTTTTCAAAAACTACTGACAAGGAAAAACAAGGGCCTGAAAAGACAGATTAAGGTGGGGACTATCATTGTAAAACAAACATGCTTTTATAAATGTTTACATTTTAACTTGATATCCGACAGGCTAGCCTGTTTCCAGTGGAGGAACTATCACTATAACCAGGAGCCCACACCTGATACCGTAACGATTTTCCACAACTTGCAAACATACAATCAAATCATGCTCCAAAGGGAAGAGCATCTTTTTTGCCAAACTACTGTAGTTTTGTTTTATTAAAATGCATTCCAAAGTTTCAGTTGGAGATTGGAGGCTTAATCACAAATCCCCCAAAATGAGTAGCCCCCAAGATTTGAAAGAGTAGAAACTGATGGGAAAAGCTCATTACAGCCACTGTGAGGTGTCTGCTCCCTATTATCTCCCCAGAGGTACCATTCAACATCTTAATCTTCTGAGGGACAGCATCTGTTAAGCACAAAACAGGAAAGAGGAGGGGGGGATAATCAGGCATTTGTTCCATTAAATGCATATCAATCTTAAAAGGAATGAAAAAATTCACATGAGCAGATTTAATCGAGAATCAAAAGCGCATTTTTGACAATCTAATTCTGCTCAGTTTAAATTCCTCCACCAGCTTTAGAACACGTTTGAGTGGTTGTACCAAGTTCACAGAGTCAGAGGAAAGGAAAGAAACCTCTTCAAGCCCCCCCCGAAAAAGAGCCTTCCTAGGCCAGCAGCTCGGAAGGTTCTCGCCCTCCTCTTGCTCAGAGCCTGCCGGCAGGAGCTCAGAAACACAGCAGGGCCCGGCTGATGCAGATGGCCAGGGAGGTCAAGCCTCAGTGCCCCTCTAAAGACCACAGAGGCCTTGATAAAGACACGGTAACCCAATCTCAATGGCTCCTCTGCCCCAGCCTCAAGTATCTGCTTGCCTCACACTCGCGCGCTGCCTACTAATAATGACATTTTGGGTGTCTTTTAGTGTCATTACTCTGCAGGCAAACGACTACGGCTCCAGGCAGAAGAAACCACACATTCTCCCTCCTTCTATCCTGGCTTCTCCTTCTTTTGTTTACCCCTCCATTTGCATAATTGCTTGGGTCCAGAAAAGACAAAAATGAAGTTTCATACCTTTCCAGGGAGAATTTCTCTCCGGATTCATTTTACTTTACTTTTAATATCATGCTCTGACACTATTACACATCACATACGACACACACGGAGCACACAGGAGAAAAAATCTTGAAAAGCCACCCTGCAAAGTAAAGGATGACTGAGCCATTCTATCACCTGCAACAAATCACTACTGTGAAACCTCGGATTGCAGGACTTGAAAGATACGAATCCAGGTAAAATCCTCACACTGTTACTTTGTTTTACATCAGTGGTGACAAGCACGGGGAGGGCAAAAACCAGCATGCCCTCCAAAACCTGAAATCTCTGGTGTTGCATGCCAAAAACAGGTCTCACTCAGGTCTCAAAGCCATTAGCACCTCCTTATAAAAACAGGAGCTTGAAAGCCTCAGCTCTCAGCACCTCTACTGTACCTTCCATGCCATGCAACAGTCCAGACTCTTCCTGCCAGCTCTCGCCAGCCAGAGAAACAAGCCCTCCAACAAGAGAAAGAGAAAATCCCAAGTGCCACTCTCAAGCGCTCACATCCATTGTGGCAAGCACCAAATAAAAAACAAACTGCGGTTCTTGTTACAAGAGCTCTTCTGGCCTGCTCTCACCCAGCCCGGCTCGGGATCCTCCTCAGTTTGTGACAGAGAGTTCTCGTCCGTGATGCAAGCAGGAGGAAACCTCCACTCATCAATCCACCACACCGCCTGCTCTCTGTCCCTCTCTCACGACACACACAACCCCCCTCCCTCTTGTCCTTCCTCATTTCCACCATTTGCTCCAAAGAGGAGTTCACTTGGGACTCATCCATCTTGCCAGGCTCCGCCCCCCGCAGTGACAGATGCTCTTAGAGGACCATCCTGCTGAGTGAACAAAGGAGCACATCTCCTTCAGCCACCCCAGCGAGCAACAGGCACAAACACAGAAGGCGACCCCACAACATCAGCAGAAAGAACACGGCTCCTGACAGATTGCGGGACCATAAATCTTCATCCCCAACCTCCCCCTCATCCTCATTTCTTTTTACGGGGCCAATTTAAGCCGGCATCCCAGGCGATATTACGAGTGCTATCAGAGGAATGCAGAGTCAAAACTTGCACCTTGTCTCATGGACTTGCACCATTCCACAAACAAATGCTGCCTGCGCTCTGAGAAGTTTCTCAATGGCCCATCTGGTCCAGGAACTTGTGAGGGTCGCACTGTTGGGACGTATCAGAGAAGCCCCCGCAGAAAGACAGACAGCGAGACAAGCTATCTGGCCTGAACCTTTTCTTCAAGGGCGTCCGAGGTTTTCCGTGGAGAAAAAAGGCAAGAGGGACAATGCCAATGGCTTCTCCACTGACAACCCAAACACTATTTCAGTGCTAATAATGTGGTTTTC